CTCTCTCTCTCTCTCTATCATGCACCGACTGTGGCCTTCGATTTTGCATCTCCTGGTTCGAAACGTCTAAAAAAAGAACCTTTCGTTCCACCATTTGATCATTGCCCCGCATCCTCCCTTCCATGTCGAAATATCGCTAAACTGTCCCTCGTTGTTCAGGGTGCGGCGCACAGACTGTCCGTGCGCCTGTCCCTGTCTACGGATGTTGTACTCTGAGGGAGAATGAACTCGATGTCGTAATCGTCATCCGTTATTGTGGTGCTTGGAGGCCCAGGCCTGTGGACAGACGGAGTGCCAAAGCGAAAGAGCGTTGCTGCCTTCTCAGCCACGGATACGGAACGGTCCAGTTTGAAGACGGAAAAACTCGTTACCGTGCCTCGGCTACGGAGAGATGAAACGATTGCCTGCTTTATAGATACCAATTTTTCTATCTGCTCCGCAGCTCGTGTCGTCTTCGTTGTCTGTTTTATCTCATATTGAATGACCATCTCCGCAAAAGCCAGTTGCTGCAGGGTGACGCCCAGGTTCCGGCCTTCCTTCCTCATCTGAAAAACTTTTAAGAGTGCCGTCTTGAAGGCGGGGGCGTCCCACGGATCGTCGCCGCTCCGTCTCCACGTCTTGTTCTCCTTCATCTCGGTGCGCATCTTGTTGCGAGCGGGGAGGTGGTGGTCCGTTTGCTGCGATCCGACGAGCAGAATCCCTTTTTCAACCCAAAACCAATGTTTCAGCTGCCATGTAATCTCTCCGCAGATCGTCGTCATCATTCTGTTGCATTCCCCTATGACAGCTCGAATTCCGCACTCTGCTATGTGAGACCGCAGCCCTTCCTCTGCTGTCTCCCCTGCCAGTTTCGCCGTCGCTTGCACCGCCGCGAAAAACGCGTCCTCTATCGGGTACAGAGTTGCGTCGTTTGCCGCAGAGAACGCAAAGGCTTTGGCGACGGAACGCAACATATTGCCCTTCATTTTCTTCGCGAATGTGGCGCCCTCGTCCTTCGGTCCTTGCACGGCTCCGCCGCTTGCGCGCACTTTCGTTCGTGACGTTGCGATCGGTGGGAAACAGAAGATACAACGCACAGGAGAGTGTTAACAACTCAACGCCTTATTTTGAATACAACACTTGCAAAATTGAAGTTTCAGCTATCAGCTGTGCGTTCACAAAGACACTTCTCCGTGCGTAAAGGCGTGCACCACGTGGGGGCACGGGATTATGTGATCGGAGTGGGAGGGGAGTTAGTGCGACGCGGGGTTTTTTACCTTTTTCAGCGGCGCTGACATGCTGTACGATTTGTCTGTCACCGACACGCTCCTCGGTGTCGCTACCATTGCGTGTCTGCCGTTCTCCTTCTCTGCGCAGCGTCCTCGAAGGAAATGGCGAACCACGTCTTTCCGAAGCGGCGCTCTGGTCTTCGCCGGTTCTCTCGCTGGCCGACTTGCCGTCGCTGTCGTCGTCCTCATCGGTGTCTTGCGATTGTCTGCGGGAAGAATCGTTGTCGTCTCCCTCGTTTTCTGGCTCCTCGTCCTCCGCACCATCTGACTTCTCTGGCGCRRAACGGTCGTGTTCCTCCTCTTCTTCCACTTGGGGTCCGYTGTGCCTGTCRYCWGACCCTCTAATATCGATTGTCTCCACTGTTCTGTCGTCTTTGTAGGATATTCTCTTCTTTGTTCTGCGGTGCGTAGTCGCGCTTCTATCATCCCGCGATCTTTTTTCCGGGGCCCTTGGCGGACGGTTCTCGGCGCCGCTTCCGCGCTTTCCCCGGACGGGGGTCAAGGGGGGCGACTCGTTACGTTCTTTCAGTGTTGAAATCTTCCGTGCACTCAAAGGGACTATAACTTTCGATCCGGATTTGGGGCTGCGCTTGTGCTCCGTTTTCGCAGAGAGGCCGGCGCCGCTTCTGCGATGCTCTTTCGAGTGCTTCTTTTCGGCCCTCGATTTCTTCTGGCACTTGTCCTTCTTTCCCCCGGCTTTCAAAGACATGCACAGATCCTCGTATTTTGGCCTTGGAGCCATCACCCCTTCTTTCCCACATGCATGAAAGTGGAATAAGAACCACAAGTGCGTCAGTGATGTTGTTTGTCACGCGGAGAGAGAGAGAGAGAGAGAGAGAGAGAGAGAGAGAGAGAGAGAGAGAGAGAGATTTGAAATTGCGAAGTCATGCAAGTGAGCAACCTCTTTGTGCGTCAGAGTGACTGCATTTGTATTGCCAGGTGGCAGGAGATCGCATAATCTGGGAACAAAAAAAAAATCTAGAAAAAAAACCATTGGAATAGTTGCCTCGTCCATCGTTGCGATAAGGTTGGCTACTGCGGGCCAATCATGTCCGCACATACCACATTTCATGTCATTTTGGCCCGCAGTAGTCAACTTTCCTCGCATCGCGTTCGGTGACCCACATTTCATCTCATTCCATGAAAGTGTTGCTCTCTCTTCTGTTTATTATGCTTTGCAACGCTGTGGCTACTTGTGAAGCCGCTAAAGTGCCATTGCCTTTTGTGACTGCAGCACAGGCAGCAAGCCGGTCCACCATCGACTCGCGAAATTGTCGAACAGCTCTTTCGTTCACCGTTGTGGTTTTGATAACTTTCAGTACGTCCTTGGCCGTCAGATCCTTTGCCGCGGTTCTTCCAAGAAATTGTATTACGGTGGTAGCGATACAACACACATAAACACCACAGTCCGTGTGATTGTTCTGTTGCGGGCATTCTGCATGCACAAGTTTACTTCCTGCCAGATCCCTGCATGTCACCCACGAAAAATGAACCTTTTCGAGTGTCAAAGCCTGCAAATTCGATGCCTCGTGAAGGTACTCGTGCCACAAAAGTGTTCGCAACGCCGTCCATTCGTCTCGTTTTTTTTCTCTCATTGAGTCAACGACGATAGCAATGGGAGGGTCGGATATGCGGCTGTCCGCAGTGACCTCCAAGAAGGACCTCGCATTCAGCAACAGAAGAAGAATCCAGTGTTTGTTACGGTTCACTKGTATCAYARTRACCGGCGCGCGTCGCAGTTCGTTGCACAGTCGATGCAATTTCTGTGGTCTCTTCTTAATTGCGTCCTCCCATCCTTTTTTCGTCAATTTCTCAAATTTTTGATTGGCGACGACCTCAGGGTGCCAGAAAGTTGTGCAGACGTGAACATAAGACCTGTTCTGGCCCCGCCCAACCTCTTCATACACAAACTGCAAATAAATGTCAATAATATTGTCGTTCAACCATCCGTCGTCCGACAACCGTTCAATGTCGAATTTTGATACGGGTATGGCGTGTTGCAGAGATTTTCATGTAAAAGGGAACAATTCGACCACGTAAGTGATGTCGGTCTGCTCATCTCTCGCTCTTGTCTTGTCCCCTGCTTTCCGTTCTCCCATACAACCTCTGGCTGCTCGATGGCAACAACGGTTTTCCCTTCCTGGCACCATTACCTGTTTCGGTGTGCTGGTATGGCCCCTTCGCAGCGGCCGACCAATTACTACTGTTGTGTGACTCTGCCATCGTTGATCCCCTTCTCTTACCTGCACCCTGTTACTCTGTGTTCCGTGTCGTTTCTCCCCCTTCGCCCCCTCCCCGCTTTGCGGCGTCGCAACTTCGTGTTCATAATCACACACGTAGGGACAGGCAGAAGACACAGAGGATTAGTTATGTTTTTTAGCAACGGCGAATGGTTTTTGTCGAGATGCTATAATTTTTTTTTTTTTATTTGTTTATTTTCCCTTTGCAGATAGGTGGGGACGAGAAAGTTCGTGCCAGAGAGAGAGAGAGAGAGAGAGAGGTTGGCTACTGCGTGCCAAAACTGAATCAAATGTCACTGTTGACGACGTGAATGTCACGCAGTAGTCAACTTTTGGGGACACTTTCGTTTCGCATGAGGTT